GACAAGGGTAAATGAGGGAAGAATGAGAACTCATAATAGTCTTAGAGAGTACACATGCAGAGAGCACTACCATCACTACTCAAGAGTTTTCACTCATCCCTCTGAATCTCACACTCAATCCCATATTTTGTTACATGTCTCTTGTGCTTCCGGCCAAGTCTCTGTACCCTCTGTGGTTGTGGTCTCTCGATGTAGAGCCACCTGAAGCCTGCTAGTTATGAGCATTTCCAACCAAGACTCATGACCCGAGAGTCAACCATTGCACATAACTCCTCCCATAGAGTAGGAAGATAGGGCCGAGAGAAAATCCCTTGCCTGAGATGTTGAAACTCCAAAGGTTCTGTCACTGCCCCATAGTCAATTTGTGCTGGTAAGATGTACCTCTTGGCTAGGTCGACCAGGTCACGCCAACAGGAACTGTTTATGAGAAGAGAAGGGACATGCGGCCTTGGGTAGTCGGTGTAGAGCGTGGGTCCAAAACAACGAATTAGCTTTACTCCATTTTCATCCTACTCTTTCTCTTCCACTTCTAGGTACCTGGCTGCAGCAACCCAGACTGAATCGAAGTACTCATGAGTCTCCTTGCCTTTCTTCACGTAGAGTCTCAGGTCGAGAATGATGCCTGCTGCAAAATTGGTACCAACAACAAAAATAGATAGGTTTCCTTGTCTGAAGTCAACTGCACTGACGTACAGATACTGGACTGCATCTTTGAGGGCTATGATGTTGAGGCTGGCCAAGACTGATTCACTAACAGGAAACGACTGGATTGCGCTCATGGGTAGACAGACACCGAAACCAATCACTGGTGTAGAGTAAGAAGTTAACCCTGTGCTGATCGTTTTCGACTGTAAATCTCGAGTGGTTGGAGCCGAGAGATGCTGGTTGAACTTTGATTGAATGTTTGCCTAAGTGTTTTCTGAATGCTAGTCAAAAGTAGATTATATGCTGAATGAACATTGAAATATTGAGCCACCGAAACGTTGATCATATGAAATTATACTGCAAGGAGAACTACAAATTGTTGAAGGATGCTTGCTGGTGCAGATACTGGTGGATTTTCGGAGAAGGATGTCCAGGTCTTACTGCATTCACTCAAGATTTGCTCTGGCCTGTTCTACCGTTTCCAACGATGAACTGGTACTGTGTAACTTGCCATTGAGTCCATAGAAGTAGATTACGTATTCAATATACTTTTCCTCTTTTATCTTTTGAATTGCGTATTCACGTTCAACTCTCCTATGTAATCCCATATCTCGGTATGCTTCTTCCTCCCATCCCTCTCTCCTATACCTGCATAACCTGTGTTTTATTACCAGAATCTCCACTTCCCTCATATTTTCTCATCACGCCCGGATCACACAACGATAAGAAAGGTTATGAATCGTTGTCGGCCACACAACCAGGGTGACCAACTGCCCTCAAACCCAGGGGTGTTGGTGTTAGCCAGGAAGTTCAACAAAACTGTCGAAAACTTCTTTGCACGTTATGTCCTACTGGTAGCCAAACGTTGATGCACGACTAGTGACAAATTGCAGATGGCCTACAGTTTTTTTGTAGGCTCAGTCTTTTTCCGTTGTTTAGGTATCGCAATGTATGGATCCTCAGAAAGCCACTTGCTAAGCACGATTCCTCTTTCTACTGTAGCTCTTTATTAGGACTGGTCGGGGTGAATGGGAATGCTATGGACGCGTGGCTGCACATACTCGTCTCGAGTAGTTTACTGTCGAGATTTGAACAGACAACTCGTGTTGAACTAACTGAGTTCATAGCAGATGATCAGATACTGGAACTAAGAGTGAGCAGCTAAACATAGGTTGACTCTTTCACCAATTGATTCAGCTGGAACAACCTGTGGCCAACCAACTGCACTTTGTATGTCATGTTGGATGCTAACAAGCATTATCGTTACCGACACTCAACACAAAGCGCGCTATCGGTGGCCACTATCGTCCTAACGAGATGCATGTGTCATCAAGGATTACCATCACCCGTGTATAACGCAGGGGGTTACTGATTGCTGGTGCTACCCTAGTGTGGTACGATGGTCAACCGACAACAACAGCTACCTCTACGCCACGCAAGACAACACGAGTTATAGTTTGTTCGTCAAAGGGTAAACTTCCAGGGTACTCGACGCTCAGAATGCGAGTCCCACCTCAATATAATGACCGTGAGTATGAAGTCCGGTTTTTGCTCAAAACTGTAGACTTAAGTATGAGACTTGTCGGTACTTCACATGTACAACCCCTGAGTACGATATCCGTCTCTACTTAACACTTCAGTTTTGTGCATGGGACTCATTCGTACTTTCTGAGCCTAGACCACGCATCCTTACTCAACATTTGTATAAATAGATCAATTTATAATAGAATCAACGTACGATGCAACATTTGTATAAATAGATCAATTTAGAATAGAATCAACGTACGATGACTGAGGCGTTTGTTACGTTCCTAAGGGCTCAAGAGAAATGTCTCGAAGGAACTCAACGGAACGCCCCCTCTGTGACGATTGAAATACACCTTCATGGGGAAAATGTCCTCGCAATCCTGGCGGAAGTTGCAGGGACGTTTACCAATTTTTTCCTTGGCCAAACTTACTAAGGGAAAAGTCCTTACCCACAATAAACCAAAATCACTGAGTGTTTTCAGACTTCATTCAGCCTCGACATTTAGTCAATGAGAGCAAGACTGTCTTTTCATGGTTAGACCTTGTCTGACGCTCAGATCTCTTAGATCTCTCGGAAGAATTAGTAGAGCTTCTCACTGAGCAACTAGGCATTTCGCGATGACCATGAGAGGAAGGTCAGTACTTTCCGCGATCCACCTTCCCTTCTCATAAAAGGACGGCATAAACATTCAAAGGGTTATGCTTTACCCAACAACAGGCCCATAGCACCATGTCAGTGATTATTAAGATTCATTCGAGTAAATAATTAGAGCATCGTCATTTCTGTTTTGAGCCAGATTAGCCAATCCTTAACCCACATTCAAACAACTGATTATTGCGGATATTAATCTCCATCAAGTAGGAACTTGACAATCAGGTAAGCTAYTTTTCTTAGTTGTTGTTCCCTTCCCTTGCTACTCATCGCTYGATCACACAGTAGTGCGGAGTGTTCGTTGGTCAAACATGGATGATGATTCACAAGTACTTCCAGATCTTACGAGCAACCATTCTTCCCGAATGGGGGTGAGATTCTGAACAGAAAGCCCTGAGGGTTCTCAGCCCTTCGCTAGTTCTTGTCCACCTGATTGAAACGATCGTTTAGTGCCACGATGGCTCCWATTAAATTAGAACACGAGTATCAATGCCTCATTCATCAGCCAGTTTCCACACAAGGGCTAACACACAAGCAAGGGGTACGAAGATCTTGACGGTGGTAAAGTGGTAATATTCTCAAGTGATCAACACCTCACCTTATCTAGGCCCAAAAACGTACTCAAACCTCTCCCAGGGGCACATCACCGGTACTTTGGTTTTTCGCTGCGCTCGTCCACTATCTTTCACTCATTGAGATGTTCAAGCTCTCACCACAGCGCTCAATCTCACTGAGCGTGAGTCARCTGGGAAATGTTTGTAGCATAGAATGACAAAGTTACCACCTCTGTAAACAAATCACTAGCGAACGAGCCTGTGACAACTCGTGGAATAAGGAAACAAAATCCCTCTTAGAGGTGACTCTAAGATTCAATATAAAAGCCCGCATCCGCAACAATCAGTCCGACGATTGAGAATGACCACGCAGAGCCTGGCATAGACGTTTTTCATTTCAAATGTAACAGTCATTGAACTACCCTCATCAGAAGAAGACCCAGCGCCCAAGCAACGAATATAATGCCCAACTATGGCGCATTCGATAAAGAAGATCGCCCTCGAGAAGATAGACACTGGATGCTACAAACTCAACGAGGAACCCCGAGTAAAAGAAACACACACACCAAGAGTCGGTTCCTTGAAGGAAAGAAGAGAGCRTGTCATGGCATACCAAACTTTGCGCCTCCACCCTCTCCTACAGGCTTTCACCRCCTTCCACTTCTTGCGTGTACCGTGAATCTCACGTCATAACCCCTTCAGGTTCCCGTATGAATCCTCGGTGGATGCCACTCCCTCTATCCCTTTCTCAGCGGGGCAGGTTCGTTCARCAGAGCTTAGTGCCAACGGCTTCGTGTAAGCGTCCACATGGCAGGCCACATCATCTATTGGATCTCGCTCCGCTAATTATGACCCCGCCTCATAAAGGAAGGGAGGGTGACGTCAACARCATGGTTGCTAGTGCAACTTTCTTACGCAAGTTCGACTTCCACACGTTCGTATATTCCTTGCACTTCCTTAGCGYCCGCGCCTTTTTATCAGTCTCCCTTTTCGTATTCTCAAGCTGGACTCCTTTGTTAAGAATGGAGAACGACATAGCGCAGCAGGTTCAATGGCATTGGCYGCGTTTAGAGGGTTGACGTCAACAACAGGAATAGGAAGCACGTCTGTCAATGCTCACTCCACCTGAGCATGATCGAGAGTGCCTCATAACTGGGCTTATTCTAGCCGATCGGACCACGAGATCGAGGGTTGTCCCCCGAAAGCGCGTGCAAGCTCACATTCAGCAAAACTGAGGTAGCGATTGGCAATGCTCCTCCCCTTTTTGAACACGTATSTTTCCTCACTTTGCTTCGTATGTTTCTCTCCSCTTCTCGATAAAGGCTCCGTATAACAAGCACCGTCACCCGCAATGTCAAGATTACGTCAACAACTGGAGTTGCGCGTATAACTCTCTCTCGCCCCTTCTCTCGCTTTCTTGTTCTTGTCTCTCTCTCTCTCGTAACCGTTCGCGCCCCTCTCTATCTCTCTCTCTGAGATGTCCCCTCCTCTCTCTCTCTCTCTCTCTCTCTCTCTCTCTCTCTCTGATGATCCTGTTTGTCTCTCCTTCCCCGTTCTTGAGCATGACTATTGCGTGCGGGACTGCCCAGTAACTGCCTCTTTCTCTCAGTCTCRGTGACCTCCCTCTTTCGACTCGCGCTGACCTCTYTCTTTGCGTCTAGTGGCCCCGGTTTCTTCTCTGTCTCAAGTTGGCCTCAGGGCCACTTTCCACAGGCTCGGCAGGCGGGTCATCCCGTCGCCATTGGCCTAGACCATGCCAAGATGGGGTCGTGGCCTCTAAATTGCTTGCCTCGCTTTCTGCCTCCGTATCGCGGTCCAAATGTTGTTGTTCCCGCTCTGCTGTATCCGTGGACGACTCCTGCTCGTGGTACACTATTTTCACTTTTATCTCGTTTGTTACGCCGTCTCTTCTACACCTCCTCTCCGCTCGGTCTTTAGCCTTCGTAATCGCCATCTGCAAACCTTGATCTGCCCTCATTTCATCCTCTTTACCCCCCTCGACGTTGGTTCTTATCCTCGCCTCCTGATTACAGCGGCTGTAATCCAGGATCGCGGTTACGGTAGGCCCTTCCTCAGTCATTCGCTCCCACCTCCAGATAAAGTGGAGGTACCTAGGCCTGTAGCCGTACAGTCCGCTGCTCCGCACCATGGCTACAATCTCACGRCCTATAGGGTCACGACACTCGATGCACACACACTCAGCCTGCTCCCTCTTCCTCGCGAACATCGCTYCTCACTTCTAGCTCAGTATGCCGATCACTAGCACGTTGAAAGCCTCTGAACGCCTCGCTGAAACTCTAACCGAGGACCCATTTGTCTCCCCCTTTATAGGCTTGCCTCTCATTCCAACCTACCCCACGTTCTAGACGAGAAATTCAAATAATTAATAAAATAACTAAATCAGTTAATCTATAAGGAAAATTGGAGAAACGAAGCTCAATGGTTGGAGCACAAGCCAGACACACCGTGTTATTGTCAGTCACTAACTCTGATGATGTGACTACCGGTCTAAGGCGGTGGACCCATAAYGGGATACCGACCGACAACCTCTCTTCTCTAAAGAGGATCGTCGGACTACAGCTAATGGGTACCCATTTCCGATGGCAAGGAGGGGACTTATGACTTCCCACGGGGGGGGGGTGATAAGCTTCCTACCAAAGCGGCCGCGGGTTGCCCCTCTTTTGGGGTTTCCACAACGCAGTGCTCAGCCGAGCAAACCAGACACAGGCAATAAGCGAAGGGTCAGGCCAATCTAGGCCGTCARACGGCGACCACAATTCAAAATTGAACCGTTGGCCCCCGCGAAATGAAAAAAAAACGAAAGCGRAAGCCGCGCCTKGTGAATCAGCTAATAAGAAAAATAGTAATAACAATAATAATAATAAAATTAACAAGATAGGGAAAGTAAGGAAATTATAACACCGCAGTGGTCTGAAGCCACTGTATTTCCCTGAACTAAGGCATGGGTTCAGATCTGCGCACATATCCGACTCTTGACTTTTCTTTTGGCTTCTTCTTCCTTTTCTCTTCCTTTTGCCTTACTTAATCCTCTTCTGCTCGACAGTGACAGCAACTCCATTCATCTAACCCGTAATCTGACTAAGGGAGAGCCCCAACCGGACCAATTTTGTAGYCGTGCACAACCTGACTGACCCTGGTATGCAGCAAGCTCGGTAGTGGGAATCACCAAGTGGCCAATCCGATACCACACCTGCAGGACTCTGAGCACCTCTGAGCAGGGAGTYAGGTACGTAGCGGAGGGCYGGGAAACCACGCCCTCCGACATGATACCAAACCCCCGCCGTGCGTCCCCGATGGGCTAGACAAGASAGTGGGTAGTATAAAAAAAAAAGTCAATTGTTAGTACTCTCCCACTCATTTTCAYTGCATATCTCTGTGAGGTTCTCACAGAGCGGACCTGCGCTAGTACCTTTCTCTTTTGCAGCGCACTTTTTCTTTCTTTACCGGGCAACAGATCTGCGTGGTGCATAGTCGTTCCCCTCTTTCTTCTTTAGTAGTATACTCCTCTTTCTCTTGAAGTGCTCCCTCARCCTCGATCCCAATTGCCGCGTGTCTGTTTTTCTTTTCAAGATTCTTCTTTCACTATGCTTCAGGCACGTAGGGGACAAGGAAGAGGAAGAGGTGGTAGGACAGGGAAGGTGCGTGACGAGCCACCAACTCGCACACGATACTAGTACARWTCAAAAGAGGAGGAGGAAACGCGAGGATATGGCTTTCATCTGAGGCCATATCACCGCCAGCCTTTCGTAGGCTGGTATGAGAGAACTCCATCCCCTACGAGGATGGAGTATTTTCGAAAGAAATTCGAGGCGCGCTATGGCGCACCAGGCACCTCTTCTCCCCCTTACTCACCCAGGGCTCCCACCACTCCTCCGGTGGCAAGCAGAGCCTTAGTACCCGCAGCGCCACCTCCTRTACCATGCATAACTCCTCTTACTTTGTTCAATAGTTGTTTCCTCTGCTGCATTTTCTTCCTTCTTTCTCTGCTTCAGATAGAATTCATGGTCATCTTTTATCTCTTGCATAAGCACGACATCCTTTCCCTGAACTATTGAGTCTTTTTCTTTTCTTGACTTCCCAGTTCATTCCATAGCGTCCCTGGCTCAAGAGTTTGAGTACCTTAAAGCCGGGGATGCAGGTTCCTTGTGAACCAGGCCGTTTGTCGGCCACCAAATAAATTTAAGAACCATTTCATCTCACTTTCTCACTTGTTGAATTGACTTGCCGCTGAAGAAGTTACTCTGTTCCTTGCTCTGATAGTGATGTCATGGATGTCCAAATGACCAAATTACTCATTCTGTCTGCCATGCTGGGAATATGGCATACCAAACCCCGTTCTTTCTCACTGGTCTGAGCGAGGCACACTCTCACTTCTCAGACAAATAAAAGGGGATACCAAACCCTTTTTCTTTTCTCTGGCCTTGGAGCTCTTGAAATGTCTGTGTGATCTTGCAAAACAGCAAGTCCCTCAGTCCCAACATACAGACTCCCTGGCAAGCARTCATCAATCAACAATTAAATAAAAATAAATAAATATAGAAACCCATAATAAAATAATAAACAAACATAGACAGTTCTTCACACCCGAGAGTCRTTGATTGCCTTAATTTTGGGCCCCCACTGGCCAGGAATGACAGACCTCCCGTCGGTCTGACGTACCTCATTCGGCCCGCCTCAGGCCAGGACTAATCAGACCATTTGTCTTGACAGCCCCTTCAACTTGCCTCCAGGTCAGGACCACCATATCCATTACTCGAGTATGGCAACCCATTGACACTCTCGCCAGGACACCCAAACTATAGCGGATCTGGTCACCCTATGACAGTAGACCTCCCGTCAGTCAAATTGTCTCGAACCCGGATTTGACCACTGCGGTTGGGGACCGGCTCACCCACCAGTTTTTGGCYTAGGCCGCTGGCTGCCCTGCCCAAAATTTTGAAAGTGGGACCGGGTCTAACCACGGTTCCAGGCTCTGGCGAAAACCTCACTGGATTGCATCCTCTGACTGCGGTAGGGTTCCAACTGACCCCTTTTGACCTCACTGGCCAGACCCCCAGAGTCTTAGCCTCAGTCAACTACTGAATTCGACACTCGCGTCGGGGATCTGCTGACCCCACCAGATTGCAACCTACTACGGTAAGGCTCTGGCTAGCCTTGACAACCAATGCACCCTCAGGCTAACGAAGAGAAAATCCCAAGCACARACAATCAGACAAGCATCTCGAATCCCACAATCGAGCAGTCCATGCCCCAAGTAACAGTACAAATATTTCTCAAGAGACGTCCGTTCAGTCTCAAGAGGCACTAAACAGCAACAAACGACAGYCGACAATGCACTTTCCAGAAACCTCCCTTCAGCCTCAGGAAGTACAAAGTGTCGATCTCAGAGAGGTCCCTTCTCTCATCTGAGAATACTCCCAAGAGACCTTCCGTCAGCCTCGAGGAAGTATACAAACGTTGAAATCCTGATCCCAGAGAGATCCATTCCCTCATCTGAGATAAAAGATAGGCAACTTAGTCAAGAAACACGAAGTCGTCATGCTGACAGCTCTCTGGTCAAGCAAGGTTGAACTTCTTTATGCCCATCTTGTTCTCTTGGACAGRCAACTTAGTCAGAAGACACGAAGTCCCTTTACTGACAACTCTTTAGTCAGGTAGAGCTTAACTACTTTWATGCCCGCCAGATTTTATTTTTCAGCATGAGATCAAAACTGATYACTCTTTTGATGTTCCACAACCACGAGTTCTCTGAACTTAATATCTTTGCAACTGCACTTTACAGTTACTTCCCTACTCAGGGATCTAATGCTCGTGGACCGATTGCGGTTCAACATTCTTGACATCTTGATCTTGTTGGTTTCGTCGCTTATAGAGAATAATAAAATCTGTTCAGATACAGAAACGAATACAGATCGTCTGAAAGGTCTCTCTCAACTCCTTTGTGACAAAATGTGACATGCTGAARATYARCACACTGACCTGATCATACAGGAGTAATCAATATCTGTKGAAACTTTAGTCCCTGCAGTTCCTTGTTGTCTCCCAGTACTTTCTCTTAATCTTCTGGAACTGTTTTCTTACTGGATGACTGTCTTTTCTTTCCTTTCTTCGTGGTCATTGTGGGAACTCGGTTAGGGTCTCTGAAGATGAACTTAYGGAGTCTTGATCCTGACACCATGCTATGAACTCTTGATCCATCCAACTCTGAAATCTCATAGACTTTGCCCTCTGCTTCTCCTGCAATCTTGTAAGGACCGAGCCATCTAGGCTCCAACCGTYTAGTCYATTGAGTCACGAGAGAGTTATCAAACAAGAGGACTACGTCATCGATTYTTARTACTCTTTTTTAATGTRCCTCTTCTTGTTCCATCTTTCTTGGTCTTACAGTCTGCTGGTTGCCATCCTCTCAAYARCATCCATTACTGCTTGGTCAACCTCTGATATTTGTCTCATTCTGATCTGAAGTAGCTCTGACAAGGAGTATTCTCTGTCACTCTCTTGACTTGACCATGTCTTGATTATATTCTCAATAGGCAAAGTAGCATAATGACCAGTACCTCCGCCAGTGTTGGGAAATTACGATGTCCTGGCCAGTACYTGAAGTTTTCGGGGGTCGGACACTGGGTCRRCAATGTCTCAAAAATCGTAGTTTTCTTTTGTTCGTGCACRAAAGGAAAAGGGAAAAAAAGRCCTTTGTACTGCAATGATGTCGGGCAGGGTAGGAGGCCGTGCTCACAGTCTTGAATGCATCTCACAACAAAGACCGTCACATTCTGAAACTTGTTGTTGTCTTTTTTATTTCTCTTTTGTTTGTTATGTGTCCCCTGCCAACAAGGCAGGGCGGAATCCGTGAACTGCTCTAACTGTGTTTCCTCAGATGATTGTAACCCTGATGTATCCAGCCGTTTTCAAGGCCGAATTCATGTTTTCGTTTTTTTTTTCTTGTTTTTTTTTTTTGGAATCTGACAATATAAATCCGTGATCTGCTTGAGCTGTGTTCCCTGAGAGGATTGTAACCCTGATCACACTGGCACTTACGGGAATGTATCTTGCCATTTTCATGGCCGAATCCGTGTTCCTGTCTTTTTTTTTTTTTCGAGTTTTTGGAATCTGACAACCTGGCCACGGGGCTGAGGTGCCCTCACTGAGGGCACACTCACACTAACACTTCCGAGAATGTATACAGCTGCAATCACGCCC